AAGTCGGACGAGATTTTCGGGGTCGGACATATGGCCGCGGGAGCGACGGTGAAACGATAGTAATCGGTCCCGATTATGCAAATGATTCGGTGACTGGCTGTGACAGCTACCGGGCCGGACGTTTTCTAGGGTATCAATGAGCGCCGTTCTTTTGATCCGCGCAACAATACCGACGCGTTTACCGGTCGCCTCGCAATCCTTCGCTGGCTACAAAGAGGTCCCCGGGTCTCGCGGGGACAATATCGGTGGATCGAGTTCGTTGTACATTACCGGACTCGTTGATTATAAACGTCGCGCGACGAGCGTGGCGTTGTTTATACTGGGTGTCCGAAAAATGTCTCGCAATCCGAGAATGGGAGGTTCCTCAGGTAATTCGAAGTGAGTTTGTCCTTGGCGAAAATGCAGTCCACGGTTTTGTTTGCGAGTTATTAACGAGAAAGAGTGACCAATCAGAGGCGAGATATGCTGGCGCAAGGCGGACGAGCCAATGAGCGGAACCGGGCTTCGTGCGCTCATTGGCTCGGCCGCCAAGCGCTAGGCGAGCTCGCTTCTCATTGGTCAGTGTTTTTCGTTAATAATTCGTAAACGAAGCCACGGGTTGCATTCTCGCTAAGGAAAAAGTTACTTCAAATGATCCCAGGAACTTCTCATTTCCGGTTTGCGAGACATTTTTGGGACACCCTGTACATATACGTAGTTGTGACGCGGTGAATTGTGGGACGCGTGTGCCGTCGGAGCGAGCCGAATATACCGGGTGGCAGCACGGGTAATTTGAGGATAATTTGGAAAAGCGCGGAGCATATCGCGACTAACCCCTTAACTTGTACGCTCGAGTTAATTCGAGCGCGCTAAACAGGCCAAACTGTGTATACTCGAGATAATTCGAGCGACGTTGTATTTTATGCTGCTGTAATTTTTCACACTCGAATATAATCGAGAATTGAAAATAACGATGTGAAAGCAAAGAAAAAGGATCGTTTTATTGATTTTTATCATTTACATGGGATTGTAAGCTATAACGCTTATTTATTCAAGAACAAAATATAGCCTTTTTCCATGGAACAAAAGCGCGGTATATCAAAATTCTCCACCAAAAGAAAAGTTGAATCAGGGGCGGTAAACAAATGGAAACCTTTGAGGATGCGGATTTGGTTGGATATTGCTTATCTACTTCCAATCAACGGCTATATCTTCTTCTGAACTATTTTCAGATGTTATAAATTGTGTTTTTTTTACATTAAAAAAATTGATTTTTTTTGGCCGGTTTTTTTTTCAAAAAAACTGCGTTAAGGGGTTAAAATAAAGGATTTCGCTTATCGACTCGGACAACGATCGTCCGAGGCTACCGACGTTCTATTGTGCCTTCGAGCGATTTGGTTTATCTTCGGAATTACATAAAATGATTAGCGAGGCGCGATAATCGCTTTTTATCTTAAAGAGGAGGTGAACGTGTTGCACGTTACGTTTTAATCTTTACTGGAATTCGAATAATTCTTTCGATAACGGCGCGTGCAATGACCGTGCTTGAGAGAGAGAGAGAGAGAGAGAGATCGTAGCAAATCGTGAGTACGTGGGAATGAGAGCGAAGCAGAAATTGTTAATCTTCGTCGGGATGAAAAAAAATGAAACAATAATAGCGTAAGGTATCGTTTATTTTATTGATCCTTTTCTGAAACTCCATTAGTCCTGATCATCGTTGTACAAAATTATATCGAACGTGTCCGAGAAACGTGTTTCCAACGCAGAGATATATTAGATCTAGTAATAATTAGTGTCGTTTCTTAGCGTTCGTTTAGAATCCTGCTTGCCGCTAACTTCATCAACATAACCTACAAACGCGTAATCAACAAGCTCTGCTGCAAAAAGTTTGCGTTCGAACTGTTTTACTTCGCGAAACTAGGGTTAAAGGATGACGGATGAAGAGCATATTCGGCATTGCATGCTTTACGAGTACGCGTAAATAGCATACGCACGACCGCATACTGCCAAGAATCACGGCGTAGAAAAACTACGCCAGTTGGGATGGGAAGTTCTCCCATAACCTGCGTATTCTCCAGACATTGACCCGTCCGATTATCATTTGTTTCGTTCCTCGCAAAATTTTCTTCTCGAAAAACAATTTCAATAACGAAGAGTGCCACGAAAACGCCTTGACCGAATTTTTTCAATCAAAATCACAAGAATTTTACAATAGACGGATTAAGGTGCTACCCGAGCGTTGGGCACAAGTAGTTGAAAACAACGGCGACTATATCGTTGATTAAATTGTTTTGTTTTGTTTCAATAAATTAGTTTTAAAAATGTATCGGAAAACGACATTAATTATTACTAGACCTGATACATAGGAAGTATATAAGTACGTAGAAAGAGCGGAGTCCGCCGATTGGAAACCAACGAGCGAGGAATGTCGGGATCGATGGGATTCGGATCGCGGCGCGCCGTTGCCTCAGGAATCAAAGGGCAAGAGAACGAGAAGTTTTTTCTATCTGTGACGATGGGAAATATAAGCGAGCCAAGCTCTGATAAACGACCTATGGAATGTTAGATAAAACCGACTAGCGTCGACTACGAGGTTAGTTAGCAGCAACAGTTGGTGTGGGTGTCTGTACGCAAGGGAACAAGAAAGAAAGATGGAGATGTCCCACATCGGTAAAACAGTAACGCAATCAGTCCCCCCGGGATCCGGCGTGAATAGATAGCAAGCATTCTATTTTTCTTATTTTTTTTACGATCCTAATATCTGTCCTGAATAATCAGAGTTGGTAAATCGATCATTGTCCAACTGTGCTAACAGAGTACTAATCCAAGTTCTCGATTAACCTAAAAATATTTTCTCTAGACGATCCGTGACGAACGCGAAATTCGTCGAACGCGCGTCACAGTTCCCGCCATTTTTGAACTGTTCGTCCGTTAACACGTTGAATGCCACGGGGGTCACCAGTGACCGGCACTTAACTCGGCGGTGACGTCATGGGTGCCACCGGTGACCGGCGCGCCTAAATTGATAGAAATATATATAATTTAAAACAAACGTCAATATCTAAAATTTTGTATTATTACCATCGTCAATTCAAACGGCGACCCCTGTCGCAATTAACATGTCGAACACGGTTATACACTGTAACTTATCTATTGCAGATAATATTTCAACATTGTATGTATCACACAAAAGAAAATTCATCGTGGCGCCACGGACAATTTCTGTAAAACCGGCGTGGCATTCAACGTGTTGAAAAAGATCAGTGAATTCGAACGCGTTATATCGTTTCAACTTTCACGGCGCTGAAAGTATGTTTCATTAAGTTATCGTTATTCCCGCGAACCAGCGTTTACCAATTGTTATCGTCATGTTCGTTGTTCAAATAAAAGAATTTCACGTTAATTTTAACGACCAATAATTTACACGCGAACGTTAAGAACGTTCGAAAGTTACGCGCAGAAATCTGTGTCGGCACTCGTAAATCTGATTCCGTTTTGTGTACGACAGATGGCACTAGCAAATAAATGGGAGTCGAAGGATCAGTAACCCCGATGGGGGAATAACCGCGCATTAACTCTTTGTTTACTTATACCCTCTGGAATAGTTTCGCTGTAACCGATTCGATCGATTCCAAAGTGTCTCGCGGTATTGTTCGCATGGACGCTGTTTAGGTTAGGATCCGGCCGAGGCGGACGACGAAAAACGTTGCGAACCAATTATTCCCAACAAAACAATCCTCTCTGGTCGTCGGCGGTTTTAAAATGGTAACCGTCGCCGGACACGATGCCGGATTGCGCAAGCTGAGAGTATATTAGTTGAATCGATCGTGTGCGGTTGGACTTGCATCGATACACGCACGAATCTCTTTTATGTCGGCGAGATAATGCGATCCGTTAACGGTCGAAACGTACGCCGTCGTCGTCGGCGGCGGCGAGACGTCGAAAAGGCTGTGAGAACGGGCACGCGAAATTCCGGAGCGGCGGCGAAGAGGGGGCGAGGGAACAATGCGCGAAGACGCAAAGCGACCGCGTGCCCTTTTTCTGTTTTCTTCTCTCTTTTTTCTTTTCTTTTTTTTTCAGGTTGCGGTCGAGGTAAACACAGCACGGCACGTTTCGTGGCGCCCCCTAACCGATAAAACGCCATCGAAGCACTCTCGTGTCTCTCGCTCGCGCGCGTGAGAATCACGGCATGACATACGGCTCGCAGTCCGAACTGGAAACGTGACACCCGCTGAAAGGTGTCGGGGGACTACGCTGTCAGGGACAGCATCGGGCACGATAAGCCTGGTATAACCTCAAATGTCGGCGAGATAACACGTACTTAAAGGAGCGTGAGTTTACGACCACGCCACCGCCACGCACGCCAGACACTGGCATGCTTCGATGGTGGGGCCACCGTGCCGAACGGCCGACCCCTTCCGCGAACGTTTAAAAACCACCAAAAATGTATTTCCGTGTCGGTACTCACCATCGTCTGTGTTGACCAGGTCTTTGTGGATGTCGGACATATCTGAAACCCACAAACACCACGGGTTAGCTGAAAATCCCTCGTGTTTTCGGGCAGCCTCGTTCGATCCACAGGCACTCACTCACCCGCCATGTTGTAACAAACTGCAACGCGCCCCGTGGCCACGCGTTTAACTTTTCCGTATGTATCGAGAGATCGTTTCCTTAACACTGTCCGTCGTGATATCGATATCGCCAATTTTAATTCTCGTTCGAAACGGCTCCTCTGAATCGTGGGCGTTCGTCCGGTCGACCGTCGAAGGCGAACCGTGCGCGTCTAATTAATCCGCGAATTCCGATAAGAGAAGAGACTGCTTTGGGACCATAATAATGATCCGGTAACGTGAGTTTAGTTTCAAATATTATTGTATATACGTATACGCGGCGGTAGGTCGCGCCCTCGGATTTATTTCGCTTTGAATTTATTTCGAACCGCTTTTGGTGGAACACCGAAATTTATTGCGTTGCGACGAACGTTGTTTGGAGCAAGAGTACAAAGAAAATATAGAGCAACATGTGATTTATACATTTAATACATAAATAGTATCCTAACACATTTAGGATAGGTTGTTACGAATCAAAATCAACAAAGTTCTTAGAAAGATTTTGCAAAGTTATACATATGTGACAGCGTTTGATGTCTTCACAAGAATTTAATAGAAGCCTATATGTATGTATATGTATATATATACGTGTATATAGTATATCCAGTACCATCTAATACCATATAGTATATATGTATATGTATACATATATATAATATTCTCTTTTTTTTTTTAAATATATACTACAAGATATCAGTATTTTGCAGTTCCCTAAATGATAGATCTTACTTTATAGCGCAAATTCAATTACTTGCTTGTCAGTGTTGACAAGTACATTTAACAGGTAATGCAGACTTTCATAATTTAAGAGAGAAGAACCTCAAGTTCATGGACAAAATAGTTTCTACGTGTGTTTGTGAGCCAGTCACAAATATTAAATTGGAAATATACAACGTACAGTGGTGGCAATTTAAATTTAAATTGCGAATATCTTTTTCTCAATGTCTACAATGTAAAAAAAATATTTCAATTTCATTTTTTATTAGTTTACTTTTGTTGTCTAATTAAATGGAAACCGTGTATAGGCGAAACTTAGAGAAAATAGATCGCACAGCCGATAGATGGTACATACTTCTCTGCGCTTCGAATTTGTAGTACGATAATTCATATATTACATTTGCATAGCTGAAAGTAATGTTCACGATGCACCTTGGAAACGCGATGCATTTAAATGCAACCGTGCTTTCTGCGACTGATATGAAGTCCTTCTCTTGTTTTAGAATACTGTATTGTAAGAAAACAAATGCACAGAATAATATAATGATATCCAGCACACGATGCAACGGATATTTTCTTGCTGTGATTATCTTGCGACAGTTCCTGAGAATTGTGTAATATGAAATAGATAGTGGAAGAGTATTAAAAAATGCTGGTACACGAAAGTGGTGTCATGTATTATCACGAGCTACTTCTCCAATTGTAGCCCTGCACATTGGACACTCTACTAGTTGAACCGAACACATTTGGCAAAACCCTCTGAAAAAAAAGTATTTAGATTTTATAAAGAACGATTCAGTTGGATTTATCGTTACACATTTTGTATAATTACCTATGATTGCATGGTAATAATCTCACTGAAGCTCTTTGGTCGAAACACAATGTACACGAGTCTTCTCTAACGCTAAGTTTCCTCAGTTGGTCTAAGTAAATGTGTCTAGGAAGCACAACCTTATCCTCCGGTTTTAAAGAAGCATAATCGTTGAATTTTTTATATTCGCGATCGGTAGGAGGATATTTGAATGGAACGTTTCCAAAATTAAAAAGGCATTGTTGGAATGACATGAAACTGGCCGCAGCAAAGAATCCGGATCTAAAATATATATTTACAACGCGTATTGTTGCGTAACTTATTTCCACGTTACGAAATCTTTTATTAGAAAACATTCGCTTACCTTACTGTTTTGAAAACTTGAACACATGGTTTTAACGGCACGCCGTTTATGGAAAATATTATTTCTAATTTGTTCAAGTCTAATAAACAACCCAGAATGTCTCCAGCTTTCCAAGATGGTCTTTCATGATGCTTTTCACTCTTCGCATTATACCAAATCAGTCTACGACAACCATCATAGGCCAAAGAAAATTCATCATCACCTATGCCATAGCCCTCCTAAAATGAGAACAGATAAATGAAATTGTTTTCTCCAGAGATATCATACATGCACGTATGAATATAAAATCTTACGTGATTTAAAAATGTGCTACCCTTTGTAGCCCACCCAATTTGCATTACTCCTGCAGTTATTAATAATGTTTCATAATACCAAGTGCCAGCGTCTACTTGGAACGTACATCTTACGCTTTCGAATGAATATGCATCACATCGAGCCTGAAATTTTTTTAATAGAAAATAATAACAAATTATAACGCGAACCAAAACTTTGCGACAAAACGTATATTATTTGGTTGAACTTACTTCTAAACCATTAGGCGATATCTTCAGGTACTCACTTACATCTTTTGTGTTTAACATAACATTAATGCCAGACACATCTACTGAATCATGGGAATATTTCCTACCTTCCATCAAAACTAAAATATTTAAATTGTTTACAATTATTACTCATTATTGCTTGTATCCTTTTAAATTATCAGGTACAATATGAACTTATAAATACTTACATAAGTTATCTAAACACCACTGTGCACAAAATCCTACTTGCCTGCGCACGTAATGAGTTTCTGTTACCCATCTCTCCAATTCTAAAAGTGGATTAGGTTTTTCAGCCATTAAACGTTTCTTGATAGTAACTTTATTTTCACCTATGAAAACATGAAATTCATTTTATTTAAAATAATTTAGTTTAAGCATCGCTACTACTTGCGGTACGATTACATTTATTACTCACTTGTCTGTGCAAATTTTTCCAAAGCTATTAATGAGAATAATACCACATAAGGATCAATATCTTCTCTCTAAAATAATATACAAATTTTAAGTGTAAAAAATGTATGAAATATTTCTCCTTTCATGTAATGATGTCTACATAATGAACTTACAAGATTTGAAACAAGATAGTCTAAGGTTACATCAGATAGCATTGCAATACTGCTAGGACCAGCCAATTTCTCTGCTATACAACCCAATACCACGCAAATATTACGTTGTTGAGTTGCAGAGGTTGGTATACTTCCAAGTTTTTGATATAATTGAAACATTAGTGATAATCTTAGAACCGATTCCTAAAAGGACACACCGATTTTCTTAACAAGTCCAAACGTAAGAAGTAAATCACAAGAAAGGTATAAGTGTACCTTTGATGGTAATGGACAATCATCGAGAAGAAGAGTAATAACTGAAGGGCCTAATGGGTTATGCATAGGAATAACATTAACCATTGAATTGATTACTTGTATCCATCCATCTTCCTTATCAGCAATTATATGCAGCTTTAACATCGCTGGTGGTGGCTCTTGCTCACTATGTGACACAAACATTTGACAATAAATATCATATACGTAAATATTTTCATAGAATAATTCTTAGCTAGTAATACTCACTTATCAACAAGAGAACCAATCACTGATAATGTCTCTAGTACCAATTTATCAATGTTAGCCGAATTTGGAAAATTAAAAGCTGCAGATGTTACGCTAGTAGATGCAGCTGTGCCTACACTCGATTCAGGAAATACAGTATTTTCAGCTTCCACATGGTTCTGTCCATTAAATACCTCATGTTCTTCTGGTGTATCTTTACACAAACAATTGCCCATTCCCACAATTTATAACAATACTTTTAAAGAAGCTCTATCATATATATATTTTTAAGTGATATTCACACAATTAACTGACATGTGTATTATTAAATATTATACCCAATGCAATAAAAATCAATTTACATTTGAAAACAATGATGTTATGTACATAAATTTACATTGACATGTATTTCCATAGACGTTGAGCCTCAAAAGAAATATTAATCTTAGTTGCTGAACATATTAAAAATATATCACATAAAATCATGCTCACTCATCAGAATTACTTAAAATATTTATTTACATTCTTCTGCTTTTGGTCATTGTTTTTTAAATACATGGATAAATATGATTTAGACAAAAATATATATAATATTTAGAGCTCGGTTTACGATTACGGTTGTTATTAATTATAAGAGCATATCTGAAAGAGAACAAAAATTAGTAACAAGATTTTCAATAATTTTGTGGGT